GTTCAATGATTCAATGTCCGATTTTGTTTGGATGTTGTCTTTTAGCAGCAATGTCATATCAACATGATCGAAGGCAACAGGTGGCAATTTGCACAGATCTTTTGCAACAAAGCTTGGTATTTATTCCCGTTCAGGAGCGGTATAAATTCTAATTATTTAGAATCAATGTAATGTACGTGTATTTATTATATATAAATGTATATAAGTTCCATGATAATTTTACCATTATTTCCAAATAATTTGCTTGTGAAAACTCATAATAAATAAACAAAAGTTTGTTATATTTATTGTATATATAGTTATGTTAACTCATACAAATATATACGATGGTTTCAAGATAGCTTTTTAACAACCTCACATCATGGCAAAAATGGAAAACAAATCCTGCACAGAAAACAATTCTGCAGAAAATTCAGACTGAAAAAGAACACACAGAAAGAATTACATAAATCCGCGCAGGGCTCAGTGCTGCGCAAATCGAAAACATTTTTTTGCGCAGATTCTCTGCCATCACCCCCACAGAATTTCTAACGGTAGACCTCTTAAATAATCGCATTATCTATTTTCGGTCTCGTGAACCTTCGGTCTCGTGAACCTTCGGTCTTGCGAACCTTCGGTCTCGTGAACCTTCGGTCTTGCGAACCTTCGGTCTCGTTAACTTTCGGACAACTGGGATGTCCCCGGGTCAGGTATGGTCAACGCAAATGGCAAACACCAAATTGGTCGGTTGAGACTCAAGATGTACACTAACGGGTTATGGCATACATATAGTTTACACATGGATAAAACACCAAATTAACAATATTTGTGGGAATTGTTAAGAAGAGTAGGTGCAAGTTCAGGAATAGAAAAATAAACAGATGACTTTATCCTATTTATATACTCAAAGTTAATATTGGCCTTGTACGTTGACTGGTTACAATGAATATGGCCTTGTACATGATTGGCGAAAAGATAAACGAGCTGATTCGTTGAAAGTAAAACAATCTCATTGGCTGGCTAAATCTCAGTCAGAATCCTAAATTGTTATCAAGCTTAGTTTTCCGACAATTGTGACTCAATAATGGAAATATGTAGTATATCTTTTTATATACACACTATACATTCTCATTAAATGCAAATAAATGCAAACCCGTGTTCAATTCCCATCCCTGTCATTTTCCACAAATACTAACTTGCAATAAAGCCAAGTATTACAACAAATTATTTATTCCTGTGACTACCCACATGGTTTAGTGGATTTGTACACAATGTGAGAGATCGCTGGTTTGAATACACTGGTTAGTACGACTTTTGAATGCTAGTGAGAACAGTGCTTCTATATGAAAGATGTTAAAGACATATACAGCTTCAGTATATCAAGAACCAATTGCAAATAACAGAACACAAGAATACTACCTCACATGGAAGCTAGTCATAGCCTACGAAGCGGGCGTCGACGTACGAACACAGTTGACAGCTGCAAGTCACATGCAACAACAGACACGATGATCATTGTTGCTGTCCAAATAGGTCCCTTCTTTTGTATTGATCCCCTAAGGATTGCTAATTCCTTCTTTCTAACCCTTGCCCCCAAATAATATATCGCCCCTTTTAGAATGTATTGATCGACAAATTAATGAATATTCATGAGCACAGAAACTTCCACGTCATGAATAAATTAGCACAATTAAAAAAATGCATAAAGTGTAGGTACGTCTTCTGGAACTATGCTACACTCGTGTTTAAGATGTTTTACAGTGACGGGAGAAGGCGAGTAATAAACCAAAACTACGCACCTATATACTATTTAAACACAAGTTGGGAACTAAAAAAAATATTTATTTTTAAAGTAACTTCCTTAAATTTATCAAAGTGTGTGCGTGTTTCTGTTGTGGTTGTTTCCCTTCGAGTATGGTGGGCAGGCACGAAGGCATTTGTAAAATTTGTAAATTGGTAGCTGTGGAAGATAAATGTCATTTCCTCATGTGTGTCCTGCCTATCAATTGCTGGGGATACAATTCATATCAGATCAATTTATAGTGCACTAAACACTCGTATATTACAAGACCTTTGTACTACATATAAGAAAACAAATGTCTTCATGATTTTTCCTTTCTGTGATTTCGCGGTGTAATTTATTTTTTGTAAATATTTATTTCATTTAGTGCTATAGGTTGTATATGGGTCGGAGGCTTGGAATAAAATAAATTTACTTGCTCTACAGTCCAGGCTGCCAACGATGCGTCAGTTTCAAAACTGCGCATACGCAATTCCAAAGGTAGAAATCAAATTTCAACAATCAAATAGAGTCGCACAAATGTTTTTTATTGAAACTCACATTAACGTGGCGCGCGTCTATAAAACGTTTGTCTAAGACGTAGCTCCGCCCGAGATAGCAATATGTTTTCACGAATAACTTGATACACAGCACAAAATGTCGATGATGTCGACCGTCGTAAAAAT